GAAAGGTAATGTGTGTTGAGATATTATTTAGCATGTCGGAAAGACAGTATTTAGGTGACTCCCGCTGGTGGCGAGTAGTTTGAGTTCAGTTTAAATCACATCCAGAGATTTGACTATCCCTCATCATCCCAATGTTATCCCAAGAACATGAAAGCAGTTTTTTAGACACACACACACACACACACACACAAAAAAAAAAAAAAAAAAAAGTTCATCATCCAAGCTTAACAGTCTTTGACAACGATCGATGCATCACTCTAAATGTAACAAATTGCGAAGCAACAGTTTAGCAATTCATAGTTTACTACAGATTTCACAACAGCCAGTTAAATGGGACTGTATTGGTTTACTGCTGGTTTGTGTCTGTTCACTTCATTTTCCAAAGCCACAGATATAAAATCGAATTTCTAACATTTCCTATGGAGCCCAGCCTGGGAAAACGTTTCATTCAGAGGTGAATCACGACATTCGTTCAGAGCTGAATCACGACATTCATTCATAAAGGAATCATAGTTTTGTTATGTATTCTCATTTGAGGTGAACCTGGGATTAGCAATAAAACAGCAGTGAAATAAAATAAATAGCAGTAAATAAAACAGCAGTGAAATAAAATAAATAGCAGTAAAAATATGTTTTCATGGAAGTGATTTGCTTATCAACGGAAGACTTATTATAAAGACCGAACTGATCCTCATAAGTTCGAAGACAGAATTAGGGAGGAATTATGAAAAATTCTAATAGTAGGGTTATTAACCTTATTTTCTGTCGACCTAGAGTTCCATCTAACAGATGAAAATTTCAAACCTCATGGACATCCTTTACCGTTTTCGGAGAAGTATTTGGAAGCAAATCAATTATACAGGATACCTAAATCTTACTGAAGATGTTTGAGATACCTAGGACGTAGACCTGGTGAATACCGTACCCCACAAACGAAATTTTTAATGGTTTAAATCTGCTGCTTTAGAGGAAGTTAATATCACAAGAATTGACTGATTGTCTCATAAGCTCGACGGAAACGTCGCCCCATCATTGGCCGGGTAATTAATACCTTTGAATACTGGTGGTTCGACGCGATCTCGATCCCAAGAGAAAGAGAAGGCTGGCCTGAAATGCAAACCAGTTTCCCTTAGAAAGTCTTCCACGAAGGCATCCCTTCCCTTAGGCAAATAGCACTGTGGGCTTTTTCGTACTCAAATAAACGAGCCTAACCATGGAAAAATCTCGATATTGTACATAAATTTAAGGTTAATCATATATTGATTGTTTCGATCCATCGTGAAAGAAGTCTTTCTTTTGTTAAGTGAATGCTTTGTCTGTATAATTTTACTATGCAGATTATAAATGTAAGTCGAGAAATATATCTCTATCAAAGAACTTGTGAAATTTCATAGCACTTTCTTTCTTATTTGTAAGTAATGCTTGTTTTTGAATGATAAATTTTAATTTTGACCGCCATTCTACTTTTAAGGCAAAGAAGGTTAGATTTAATTCTAAATACTGAAATCCTTTTTAAGTCAAAAGTTTTCGGCCTTAGATCAATGATGGCTGATTATAACTGATCATAGATCACCAAATCAAAAAGATTACAACCCTCGTAGCTACTCTTTTTAAATAAGTGTTTTCATTTGTTTTAAATTCAATAATCAAAATACAGATTTTATTAGTTAACTCACCTTTATTTAGATGACAAATATCATAACTCCATGTATAATTTGCAGTAATATGAGTTAATGTTGAAGGAGATTTGATAAGCTATTTAATGATGCAATCCATAATAATTAGAATGATCGGCCGAGTAAGGTCCGCCATGTCGTTATTACTGCTCTGGGAAAAAATATCTTTCATGAAATAGGTTTCGGCAGCAAAACATTCACTCTTTGTTTAGAAGTGAATTGTTTACTAAGTACTTGCATCTTCTATTTTATGAATATTCGTGTAAGAGTTTCATACTGCTTTCAAGTTACCACACATTTTTCCAAAAGTTAGAAAACCACCTTTCCTTTGCTATAGTATTGCAAAAAATAAAGATTTCAAAAAAGGTCAACGTTAAAAATAATGAAATATAATCAACATGAAAATACCGCTACTTACTTCGGAAACGTTGGTATTGAAATGTTAATCAGATGCAAGACTGTTTTGCGAAATCAAAAGAACTTATCTCGGAAACGTACTTGTGTTCATTAACAATTTCACGATACGTCTCAGATAGTAAACGATATATAACGATATATAACTGTTTGACACATGCTCTAAGATGGTATCAGTTGGCTGGGTTGGAATAAGTCTATCATATGCTGAATCACCAATGTAGCAGAACGCTCATCGTCTTGTCGTCACAGACTGAAAATTAATTTCTCAGCGAATTTACGGTGTTGAGATGACCATTTCTAGATGTCAATCAATGACAGCTCCTCCTGTGGAGCTTCTTCCTAGGACTTTCGTCGAGGAGATGCAATGATGCATATGCTTTACTGCCAATCACATCGTAGTCACAAGATTATCTGCGTCTGCTGTGCTGAGACGTATGCAAATGAATTGATTATTTCGCCCAAAATTAAAATTTGGGCGAAAAATATGAACTGGCAAATATATCAATAACTTTGTCAATTGATATTCCTTTTGGTGTAATGAATATGCATTAATGCTGAAGAACTTCAGCGCTCTTCCATCATAGTAGCTCTATAATAATTTTCTAATTTTTTCAAAGCCCTTGCGGAACGTTCACATTCACAAGATGTGCAAAAGCACATCAATATTTGCAGAAAAGATTTTAAAGCCAAAGCTGGGTGTGTTTGGGAGATTTCCTTTGGGAATAGACATTAAATGTCGTCGCCAACGTTTCATCTCTTCGTTTAGAAGTTCCCGGAGAGGGTAAATCATGTTTATAATGTCATACTACACTCATTTACAGCAATTTCGTTTATATGATCAGTGCAAACTAATGGTAGTATGCGAAACAGGGATGATGCAGTCTAAGTTTGAAAATTGAGATTTTAAATAGAAAATGAGTTGGCCAAATAAAGGGATTGCTAAATTAGTTTTATAGTAATTAAACACAGAATCATAGTGGGCATTATTTCGACAGAGTTGCTTTCGAATGATTACTGGCATTTTAAGTTCTACATCTAATATTTTACACATTTGCCCAGTATAATTAAAAAATACTCTCAAACACTTTTCTACATTTTCACGCTGAGAAATATAAAACTCAGTTTTTCATAGACCATGTTACAAAGCTTCAATAAAAAAAGGCACAATATCATCAACTAGTACCTGTATTTTAACTGTTGTTCCTTCTAAATGTGATAGATAATGATATGTTGTTATGAATGTTACAATGAAAGCAGATGAAATGATTGAATTCAGCAGAACCATAGCGTCTCGTTTCACTGCGCACTCCATTGATTATGCACATAAGCATTTGGTTTGGTTGAGTACAAAATGTGCTCCAGGACCTTCCATGATATCGAAAAAGCTTTGATAGAAATGATGGTACACCTTATGCCGCACCTTGTCCGGCAAAGATCTAATATTATATTTTGTCGACCTAAATCATAATTGTAAACTCGATCATATACGTTTAATGTAAACAAAAATGCAAATTTATAAATCATCAAAACGTAAGACACTACAAGGTACAAATAGACTTACATTTTAACTTAGCTGTTTAATAACATTATATAGAAGAGCAAATATACTTATAATAGCGTAAGAAGAAGAATTAAAAACACTGCTTAAAACTTATCGTATGATAGTTTCATTTCATAATTTTTCTCTCATTGTAAGTAATAATGCTTTTAATTTCAAAGGATTATTTGAATTTATATAAAAATGGATTTCAGGCAATGTTTTATCTGCAGGATAAAAGTTAACGACTGCTACGCTACAGAATGTCATAGAAATCTAACCAATACCCTGAGGGATTTACAACTTTTCTCTTGGCAATCTTCATTTAAACGATTTATTGGGATTTATTTATTTGAATATAAAATTTAATTGTTTTATCTGTATTATTCAACTTTTTTATCTTTTTGAAATTTGAATGCATTAAAAACTGAGTTTTTTTTAAAACGAGTCTTTTGTTGCAGACAATTTTGATCTTCTAAGTAAATAGTCACCGTTCTCAAAAATACCGATCACTTTTATAGATGGTCTTTCTAAGAAAGATGGTCACCATAAGAGGATTCTTTGTATTTAATTTGTTTATAAAACAGAAAATGGAACATATATTTTCCCTTTGATAAATAGGATTCGAATGGATTAGCAGGAAGTAATAATGACATCTTAGGGAAAAAAAAAAAAAAAATATTACCTTTTATTAATTTACTTTTACGTCGCTGGAATTACCATTTAAGTATAAAATTATTTTTAAACTTTTTTTATTTTAATTCAAAGTTTATTAGTTTATGTATCAATAATCCTTTAGATATACTTGATCAGATTAAAACTTTTCATAAGCATCAAGTCAAATTATATATCTACTCGGTCTTTTTTATTTGACAGAAGCAGCACTTTCAACGACTCGTTGTCATATACCAACAGAGTAAAGCTGAAAAGTTAGAACTTCTAGGCAAAATTATTAAACCAGTTTTCTTGACGTAGCAAGGTTTGGTTGCTTTGCAACAAAGATCAGTTTAGACATTTTATGACTTTAAAACACCGTGTGAAGGATGCTTTAAAGAATTTGAAACGCAGCCTGGAAATACAATATTTTCATTGCCATGAATGCATTTTCAAATTGCAAACAGTGCTAATTTTTTATACCTCTTCTCCTTTTGGGTAAAAACTGATACAAATTACAGAAAGGGGCAACTTAAGTATTTTTTCTAAGAAGCAAAATAACAAAAAAAAAAAAAAAAAAAAAAAAAAAAAAAAGCGGGGGGGGGGGGGGGGAAACCGAAGTTAGCATTACGTGCCAAGGAAATTGAAAGCAAAAAAACACTTTGGCACAACATCTTCTGCATATATAGAGAAACTGGATTAGGAATTATTTTGGATGACAATAATGACAAAAGCAGTAACTGACTAGTAGAAATATTCGACTCGCAGCTTACCCGCAGCTTTTCACATTCGGGGGTTCAAAAGACATGCATCTGTCTTTAAGTAATAAAACCGGAAGACAAATTATTCTGAACAAATCCTAGTAGTTTGTGCGAGGTAAGCTCTTTATTTCGTAATCATAATAAATAATCATGCAGTCTTTTATTATTACAATTAGAGTTTTGGCAACAGATTCATCTACTCCTTAAACAAAACTATAATTCGTTGTGATCATGACGGGTAAACGATGCGGTGAAAGCGCCGTCGAATTTACGGTTGCTATCTGAATGAATTGGAAGTTGAACATTCAGGAGAACGTCTGCAAATCCATTTCCAAGTATGTACGTTAGATTAAAACTATATACTGATATTTCAAAAATTTATCTTTTTATGAAATTAAACCCATGTTTTCTCATGAAAATTTATAACATTTACAGAAATTAATATATAATCATGGCTGATTTAACAAACACTAGTGAAAGAAAAACGAATTCACCTAGTGAAGTAGATTACAGTTCTGTCGATACTGATGGAAGTCTTCGAATAAAAATTATATGCCTTGGAGATAGTGCTGTGGGAAAATCAAAGTAATTATTTCACTGCCTCTTTATCAAAATAGTTACTCTAAATATTGCTTTTAATTTCAACATTGCAAGCGACATTTATTTTATATGGCTATTGTGCGAAAAGCATCCAGACTAACGCATTATTAATTTTGCAATGTTTTATGTGTTTTTGTAACTTCTTAAATATGTCTAGCAAATTGATTCATGTTGAAATCAGTTGTAAGAAAAATTTTGACGGTACTGTTAATTGCTCTTCAAGTTATCAAAACTTTGTTTTTGGTTAGCAGATAACAAATTTTATGCCATTCAAGCTCAATGTGTGTCAGATGTTTATTTTTTTTCTTTATTAAATATAGCATATATCAGAAGTAAAATGCAATATTTCAGAGAGGAAATAGATTTTTTGGTTCAGCATGTATGTCTATTCAGTATTTTTAAGAAATGCTATTTACAACGTTAACCACTTCATTTATATTAGTTTCCAGTTTTCATTTCCTTAACAACTTATTTATTGAGATTATGGAAGTTACTTCTTGCTACTTTCATTGTCTCTTACTTTCTTCTTCTATATCTCAGTTATTAATTTTAAAGAGAGAAATGGCACATCTTAATTATTTTCCTGCATCTGTGTAAATAAAATCCATTTGTGAGAAATGTCTGTTACTTGGCAGTGTTTTTATTTTATTAATACTATACGATAAAATGCATGTTTAAAATTTGCTGACATGAAATTGTAACTACCTCAAGAACAAATAAGTGCTGTTGATTTCGTTATAATGCTAGTAGTAAAATGTGCTAAAGTGCAGAATCGCCCACTTATTTGTTTGGCGCTTTTCACAAGAGCAAGAAGAATTGGATTTTTGTCAATTTTCTTTGACTTTTTAAGTGAAAATACATCGATGTGTACATGGATAAAGTCAAGGGAGTGCACAATGCCATTTTTGTGCAATTCTGGGATTTTTTTTTAAGTGAAAATAGGTTGATGTGTACATGGATACCGAGTATGTATTCTTAAAAACGCGCCAAGCAGTGGGCGATTCTGCACTTTCTCCGTAAATTGTATACAGTACAAAGTCTTTAATCCGGACGTACATAATCCGGAATGATCTATAATCCGGACCTCAAAGCTACAAACTTTCTGCGCATGCGTAGCGTTTATGCATGTGCGTTTAATGTATAATGGACGGTATAAGCTAGGCTAAAATTATATAATTATCTATTTCAGTTAATGTTGCAGAATGTGTTGTTCCTTAATCTTCTAATTGGATCTGGCTTATTAGTTTTTGCAGACTGTTAGAGCAATTTTATAAAAAGTAAGCTTGAACTTTCAATGATGTCAAAAAGAGTTTTCGATTCTGGAGCTGCCAAAGGATCTACAAAGCAAAAGCATGTTTCGATGTCCATCAAACAAAAAGTGGAATTGCTGCAAAAAATGGATAAAGGCATGAAGAAAGTGACAGAGAGCTTAGTGAAAACGAAAAAATTTAGATTGAAAGTTAGTCGATATTTTCGGCACAGCAATTACAGGACTTGAACAGCGGAACTTTGTAACTGAACAAGAAATTATGTCTGTTTATAGAATTAAAGAGAAAGTATTAGCGTATAAAACGAAGCAACTTGAACAACTTACATTGAAACAAATGTTTAATAAAGTAAATAAATAAATATTAAGCTTTTTTTTTTTTTTTTGTAAATTTTGATACCCTTTAGATCATAATTGCTCTTTATTTCATAAATTACGGTTTCATATTTTTAATTTTATAATTTCTGCATGCCATCTTACCAGATTTAAATTGATGATCTGTAATCCGGAATCGCTGAAGTCCCGCCAAGTCCGGATTAAAGGCTTTGTACTGTAGTAATATTATTTTATTTTGGCTCAGTATTCTGTTCAGGCAAAATAAAATAATTACAGAACTTTGGATTCATTCTGTAGATTATTATAATATTTCTGAAAGCTATACTAAGAAAAATTCTGATTAAATTAAATATGTTCACCATTGCAAATGGCTTACACATATAGACATTCTCTAGCTAGTTAACTACATATACTGGGTCTAAAATTACCTGTACATTACGAAAAAATAATGCACACATGTGCACTATACAAGGAATGTTTATTGAGATGTATGTCTAATTTGCTTGCTGAATAATGCAGTAACACCACACTTTCCATAGGTTCCAAGACTTAACTAAAGTTATATGGAAACGTGAACGGTTAATCTTCATATTATGGTAACTTGGTGATTTTTTGACGAAAATTTGGTGACAAACCCTGCTACAGCAACTTGCTATTTTTTTTTTTTTTTTGACGCCATTTTGTTTTCACGAAGTAAAGGCTTTTTTTTTTACTCAACATTTTTTCCCAACAATCTACTAACCGAATTACGCTTATGCTAGAACTTTTATGGAACAAAAGTGCTTAATCATGACGAAGATTAGGTGCGAAATTGGGAGAAAGTGCAGAATCGCCCACTGCTTGATACGTTTTTAAGAATTGCACATACATGGTATCATCCATGTACACATCAACCTATTTTCACTTGAAAAAACATTCAAGAATTGCACAAAAATGGCATTGCGCACACTCTTGACTTTATCCCTGTACACTGCTTAAGTCCTAGCTAGTAATCTTTATCGCCTTACCAAAATGTCGCCAAACTACCTGTTACCATATTCCAAAGATTAGCCACATGAACCATGCTGAACAGTTCGTATCTTATGATATCCATGTAGCTTGCTTAAGTGCATATGTAAAGTTAATAAATTATATGTACTCTGACATTACTAGTATTGTGTAACCCCTAATAAGAAAGAAGGCTGTGAATTTTATGTTTAAAATGTACTTTCCGTTGTATATATAGTAAAGAAGTCAGCCATTCTAGTTATAAATGAACTACAAAACACTGAAAAAGTGTTGTACAGTCAAAAGTCGTTAATTCGGACACCCATAATCCAGAATGATCTATAATCCGGACCTCAAAGCTAAAAACTTTCTGCGCATGCGCCGCGTTGACACATGCGCATAGGCATTTACGCGTGCGCGTAAGACCTTTACGACTGTCCACATGCGTGTGTGCAAGTGCAGAATATGTTTTCGCATGCGCGTTTAATGTATAACGGACGGTATAAGCTAAAATTATCTAATTATCTATTTCAGTTAATGTTGATGATTGCGTTGTTCCTTAATCTTTGAATTGGATCCGGCTTATTATTTTTTGCAGACTGTAAGAGCAATTTTATAAAAGTAAACTTGTTCAACTTTCGATTATGTCAAATAGAATTTCCGATGCTGGAGCTCCCAAAGGATCTTCAAAACGAAAGTATGTTTCGATGTCCATCAAACAAAAAGTGGAATTGCTGCAAAAAATGGATAAAGACATGAAGAAGGTGACAGAGAGGTTAGTGAAAACAAAAAAATTTCGATTGACAAGTTAGTCGGTATTCTCGGCACACAGCAATTACGGGAGACTTGAACAGCGGAACTTTGTAACTAAACAAGAAATTATGTCTGTTTATAGAATTAAAGAGAAAGTATTATCACATAAAACGAAGCAACTTAAACAACTTACATTGAAAGAAATGTTTAATAAAGTAAACAAATAAATATTAAGCTTTTTTTTTTTTTTTTTTTTGTAAATTTTGATACCCTTTAGATCATAATTGTTCTTTATTTCATAAATTATGGTTTCATATTTTTAATTTTAGAATTTCTGCATGCCATCTTACGAGATTTAAACTGATGATCTATAATCCGGAAAAATCGATAATCCGGAATCGCCGAAGTCCCGACAAGTCCGGATTAATGACTTTTGACTGTATACTCTATAGAGTATTCTGTAAAGTTTCAAAGAGTGGGCAGAGTGATAAAAATTGTGCTTCCCCCTACCAAAGTGCCGTATAAGCAGTTTAAACATAAATCTGAATAGCAATGTATTTGCATTAATATTCAGGACTGTAACAGGAAAGCGGTTTTGAACACAGTCATGTTGTTACATTCTATCATGCTGTAGTTCATTCTTTATTATACATTTCATGATCCATTTATTTCTAAATTAAAAAAAAATATTGGTTATAAATTGCAGATAGAGGGACAGGACTGGAGTTTTTACTACGTATTATTCGATTAAGAAAAAGTGTGTGTATTTTCTGACTATCTGCACCCTACCATCAGAAAGTTATGAACTTGTTGCTGACTTCGGGGTAAGCATTCGGGAACTCGTTGATGACTGATTGTTCATCAAGCTAATGTGTGAAAGACAACAGCCACTTTAAAAATGGTAGCACACTAAGAATTCTATACAAGAGCAACCAATCAATGAAATTGAAAAACAGGAAACTTTAAAGCTCTTAACCTTTTTTGTGCTGTTGTTCTTCCTATGTTCACAGCAATCTATTTTTACTTGAAAAAAAAAATCATAGCACATCGTACAAAATCACCTTTGAGCGCCGACCAAAACAGACACGTGCTACCTTCCAATCTGGGTTGTCGTATAACTATTTTCTTGATATATTGCTTGCCTCGTGAATACTTTTTTTGTAACTTTTTGGTGAGGGCTGTAGATAATCAGAGAGTACTAAAAATTGAAAACTGGTAACCAAGAGCAAAATGCCAAAAGTATATCAACATTGGTTGCAGCTTGCGAGGTTACAGCTTTGATGCATCAAGCTATTTAGTTACAGGAACACAGTGAGTATAAAGGGTAAAAATATATTTATGGGTATGCCTTGGCGTAAATTGACGATTTTTGGTGGTACATGGATACCGAGTTTGTGCAATTTTTTGACTTGTTATTTTGGCTTGTAGCAAAAATCACCGCTACACAAGCCAAAATAACAAGACAAAGAATTGCACAAACTTGGTATCCGTATACAACAACCTACTTTCACTTAAAAAAAAAAAAAAAAAATCAGAGAATTGCACAAACTAGGCATTGCGTACTTCCTTGACTTTGTCCATGCACACATCGAACTACATTCACTTAAAAAGTCAAAGGAGCAGCCAATAAAAAATATATAATCTCTATAAACTACATTTGAAATTAAACAATGAAATAACATAAAAAATGAAATCCATCTTTGCACTACACAAAGAAAATATACACTTACCTTATTTATGAATTAACATGTCTTCGGTCAAACAAAATTCCTTAACAGCATCCAAAAACTTCCTAAAATTATCTGAACTAGAATCTGTATACTGGCGTCACCACATAACTTCACAAAATAAGAGTAAAAAAATCCTCCGTAGCGTCGTTTATTGTCCGACGTTCAACCATGTACATTTCCTTCTTACAAACTAAAAATAAATAAACTCAGTGGTGTAACAGCCCTGCCCGAAATCTGCTTTCTTGACTGTGGGCCCCGGGGTGCATAAGCATATGCCCTGAACAAGTGGTGAGCTTGTTGCAGGACCCCCAGTGCTTAGTCCCCCAAGCGAACATTTTATCGACCCAAGTGATGAAAATCAAGGGATGAAAGGCTGAGTTGACCTTGTCCAGCCTGGGAATTGAACTCTGGACCTACGGTGCTGCTGCGCAATGCGCTAGCCACCTGGCCTCCCCTCTTACAAACAGGACACTTAATAATGGCTACTAAGTAAACCTTCATTTACACACCAGTCAAGTAATGCTCTTTTCCCCTTTCTTTCCAAATCGTACAGAAACTTCAAATTAATCTGACCAAATTCACCATGTTACCGTCTCAACCACAAAACAAGCAGTATACTTCCTAACCAACATACACATAAGCCATTACGAATTTACTGCAATCATGCAACCAATTAGGTCATAATAGGGTTTCCATAACATTCAACTACTCAGGCTACCATAAATGAAACGACTTGGCAATAAATGAAACAGCAACTTCGTGATAATACAAGGGATACTCTTCTCTCTACTCTATCCGTATGAAGAACATAGAAAACAAAAAGTCATTTGAATCATTGATATTTACTAGAAATAGAGTTTGATATTTGCTAGAACTATTCAATTGAATGACCAGCAACTACAATGTATGTATCACATTTACAAAATGCAGTTGATCTTTACATTATGGTAACTTGGCGATTTTTTGGCGAAAATTTAGCGACCAACTCTTCTACAGCAACCCTCTATTTTTTTTTCACCGCCGCCATTTTGTCTTCACGAAGTAAAGACATGTTTCTTTTCTTTTTATCTACTGAACACTTCTTCCAACAATCTACTAGCCGAATTACACTTATGCTAGAAATTTTATCAAACAAAACTGCTTAATCATGACAAATATTCACTGCAAAATTTGGAAAAAGTGCACAATCGCAAACTCCTTGCGCGTTGTTCAGAATAGCACATACACATAAACCATTTACACGTCGACTTATTTTTACTTAAAAAAACATCCCAGAATTGCACAAAAATGGCATTGCACACACTCTTAATTTTATCCATGTACACTGCTATTTTCTCATAGATTACAAAAATTTGCACAAAAATGCAGGAAAATTTTCTTAATCTTTAAACTCGGTAAAAAACACATATATGAAATTACCTGATCGCGAAAAAGTATATACCCTTTCCAAGAATGAACATTTCCACGTATAAAATAAATAAAATATCCAAAAGCTTTTACCTCTAAATTATCTATTATTATATTATAAACGTCACCAACGAATTTATATGCAAACATTAAAAATAGTTACAAATACTTAGTGTCAAATATTTAAATTATTTCCATACACGTTTACTTCAACTGAAACGTATACCAAATTCCTACAAACATAAAATTCACAAAATAACTATCATTTCATTAAAATTTAATTAAATTCAAAAACACTACTTAAAATATAAATGAGCACATACATTAAATTAATAAAAATTACCTTACAATCCTAATTACTTTAAACTAAATCATTGCTAATAACAATTTTCCCAATAATACCAAATTCCTTTCCACCTTACATTTAGAACAATGCATAAAAATAATATCCTCAAATAATTAAAAATACTAACTTACCTAATCTTCTTCAGAATCTTGATTACGTGTCCGATAAACTTTTCTTCTTTCTGTTTCAGGATCCTTAAAATCATACTTATATTTCACAGCAAGGTACCAGGTAAAATAAATAACTTAATAAAACATCTTTATTTCTATCTCGCACAACCTTAAAGAAACATTTATTACTACCCTTTTCAATACCACTAAATACCCATTTCGAATTCACTTTAGTTACGGCCATGGGATCCAAAAATTAACGAACACTGTTTCACACAATACAGAATAAAGCCAAATACAAAATTTCCAGATTTTTTCCCAATTTCCCCCCTTTTCCGATTAAAGAACCGTAATTCATCCATTAATATCACATGACATATCCCATGATCTCTCATTTCCCTCACACAAAATAATGCGTAATCGGAACTGAGTACTGCTCACATTATTACCAAAGTCCCAGGTAGTAACCTTTATTGCCTCCAAAATGTCGCCAAACTACCAGTTACCATATTGTAAAGATCAACCCAAAATGCAGATTGACTTGTTGCTAATATTTGCATCACCAAGTATATGATAGACGTACAAGACGTGTTGGGGATCTTTCACTATGCAAATTTCTTCATTATTGTTGTGATGCATGTAGGTTGGTGGACGTTCATTTGGGCCATTCTTGTAAATGACTGATATTATGTCTTGTTAACCGTTTGACTGCTACGTGGTCAAAAGCGCTGCATTCATTTGTCTTGAAAACCGCGACGCAGCTCCTTTGTGCTGCTAGTTTCAATGTGTCTTTGTTGCTCTGTCATCAAGTCAAAATATAATCATAATAAAATATAAGTCAATAGACAACGTCAAGTCAAAGTATGTCCCGCTGTTTTCGTGCATTCTTGCAAGAATTACTTAGCAGTCAAACGGTTAATATCCATGATCAAAATTAATTTTCATTTCTCACGTTCTTTATATACATTGCATCACCACATTCACGTTCTATTACTGTAAAAATTGTTTCTCTGTGATTGCATATCATCCCTTCATTTACTAAATTTTGTTTGTCACCCCATCCAGGCTGTGATCAGTCACATGATATTCAGTATATTGTGTAGAGTTATATATTTTATATGGGTTATTATGAATGACAGAAGAAAGTGTTCATTCGTAAATAAATATTTACATCCTTTGTCAGAAAAGTTTCAGGACAGACATCTAAAAAAATAGAAAATTTCGTTTACAAAGTAATGATCCTAGCTGCTGTCAAAGTAGTCCCCTTGGCTATCTATACACAACTGTCAATGTTTTTTGATTTCTTGGAAGCAAGCAGGGAAATCTCCAACTGCGATGCTTGCAAGCTGATTTGTCACAACCCATTGGATATCTGCAATAATCTTGATGAAGCTTTCCTTTCAGTTGCCTTTTCACTCATGGAAACAAGAAAAAATCACAATAATCTTTGAAACAAATTTGGGATCACATCTGGCTCTATCCAATAGTTCAGCAGAAAGTCTTCATCTTTCCTCTTTTTGTTCATCTGTTAGTGAGTGAGGGACAATTCTTACATTAAGTTTCCATTTCCTGAATCTTCGCGTAAAATCTTATAACACATATCACGATTTAAATTCAGTTCTTCTGATATCATATGCACGGTTACACGGCGATTTTCTTGCAATAACTGCTTACACGATCCACGCATTGGTGTCAGCTCTGGGATCGTCTTGCACTGAATCTCTACCTTCATGAAACCTTTTGTGCCACTCAAAAGCACGACTTCTTGAAAGTGCCTTCCCTGCATACGCTTGCTTAATCATGTTCCACATTTTACTAGGTATTTTCCCGAGCTTGTCGCAGAACTTGATGTTTACTCTTCACTCACAATCAATCAGCATTCATTGTGTCACCTTAACGAATGCAACAACAATCCAAACAGTGTGCTGCTAAGCACAGCTCTGCCACCTAGTTTGCTTGGAAACATGGCCAAGGTAATGTCAAGAACATGTACCAGGTAAAAAAAAAAAAATTGTTCTTTTTTAGTATTGCGAACTCGTAAATAAAAAATAAAATAAAATAAAAATGTCCTGGAGCTTCTCTGACAGGCTGAAAGGCTGTAGAATTATAAAATCAAAGGTTTCCGTGTAATCTTGAGTATCTAATACAGTTAGCTTTGATCATTTTCAGAGAACTGATTAAGAAATATCTCAGCACACAAGTTTTATTTGGTAACAAAGTGTTGAAATGTGTTGCTTTTTAAAAATAATTTCATTTGCCAGGTTTCGGTTTGCATTTTATCAAAAGTTTAATTTTTGGAAACTGACAGTTAGTTGAGGGAAAGAATGTCAATTTGAATGAATGGGGGAAAATTTTTCGATTTTTCTCCACTGTTCTGATCAAAATTCTGAGGTAAATTTATTTTTTCTGTTCATTTTTTCCCCACTGTTTTTATCAAAATTTTGAGGGAACTTGAATTTATTTGGTCAAGAAGATTTATCGTTTGCTAGACATTTTCCTTCTTACTGTAATATATGTATGTATTAATAAATTTTATCTTCTGTTTTAGATTATTGGAGCGATTTCTTTTAGATGGATAGTATCCTTTATAAAAAAAATATGTGTCCTGAATGTTATTTATGATATCTGCAGTGTAAATGTATCTGGTCACCTCATATTATTTATGAAAGAACAGAACTATGAATGCAGGTGAAATGCAGAATATTGTAATAAATTCTTCTTATATTTTCCCTTTATCATTATAATTTATTTAAAGTTTAGGTATTATTCTGCACAAAGAATTTAATTTTTAAGAATCTTACTATAAGCAAATGTGCCTAGTTTCAAAGTTTTGTTATTTTTTATTAGAAAGTTTATTTATACTCAGTTAACAGCTAGTAAGTTTCAAGAACTATAGTGAAGTTCACTTTATACATTTCTCATTTAATAAATCTTTCCCATTTATATATTATTTCATTTCTGTCATTTCTTTCCTATTCATGTTAAGAGAAACAGAATGTATAGTGAAGTCTGTTTATCAGACAAGCATGCTAATAGGAGGTGCTTCATTCTTGTGAATTTAATAAATAAGCTTTTAACTTAGTCACTGTTTTTCCTTCCTCCCATTTTTATTTTAATTGTCTAGGAAACAGAAGATACTCTTTTTAAAACACAAACATAGAATTCTGCAGGAATTTGACAAGAAAGAACAATGACAAAAAGTGGAGTTTTATAAAAAAAAGTTTTTCCTGTGTGAGCACTGAAAATAATTGCTTTTGGTATAACAGAAGGGGGCGATAAATGGCACTTATTGAGTGTGCTGTGTGTTTTTCATCTGGATGAAGGCATAACTTTAAATTGTGCTCCAAAATTCCGTGTTATGTCATAGAGAATTCAGACTTATCCAAAATCAGTTAAACAAGGTTCAGGAATTTATTTTGTGAAGTGTATGAATATTAGTTGAAAGACATTTTTAACTTTGATGAAACTGATCTCATCGAGACACCAGTCTGTACAAATGATGAAATAGAAAAGATGATATCTGCAGTGATGTGAAAGTGAAAAGAAACCAAGATGTTTCAAATGCATTAAAACATTGCTCTTTGTTGAAATGAATAAAAAAGCATGGGTAATAATAGAATTTTTATACAGTGGGCTTAAAAAGAATAAACAAAGACAACAACTATAAAATTTTATTTTATGTGTGTCAGTGTACTAGCTTTTTGGAAAGTGTTTAAGTCCCTTTACTTATCGAACTATATGATTTTGCAGTGACTTTTAGATCTGAGTCAATCAAGAATTTAAAAGTGTTTTATAACAAGATATAAATTTAAATCTCTTTCTGTAATATTAATAAGGACCCAGAAAAACATCAGTGAATCAGGTGAACTCAAAATTAAAATTTGTTGTTATCAAATTTTGAAATCCAGGATTAGATAAATTCTTTGACAGTGAAATGGATCTGTGATTGTTGATGAAGAGGACTAGAATCTGTTTGGAACAGATATTACTTTGAAGTTGTATGTAAACTGTAATGGCAGTCTAATGATGTCAAAATGATGTGCATTTGAAGAATAATTAGAAACAGATTTCCAGCTGGACATTTAAGTAGTTGGGTGAAGAAGAAAGTGTTGTATGATTGTATGAAACCTTTTTTTTTTTTTTTTTTTTTTTTCAGAATGCAATGCAGTGAGTTGTTGCTCTTAACATATGTCTTCATTGCATTATAAGTGGCAAATTTTTTCAAACATTTAATTCAATTTGTAGTGCTTTGCTTAAACTTCAAAATCAAATGGTATCAAATCAGATGACATCTGAAGACTTTTTTTTTTCTTTTCTTTAAGAAAATTAAAATCTATGTTGAAATCATATTGAAAATTTTTATTGGAGATGGGTAATTGAAATAAGAGTTGTTAAATAGTAAATTTTCTTTTATTAAATAATAAACATTCTTAATTCTGCAGTTTTATAAATGAAATATTGTAACTGTTTTAAAACAATGATTTAAAGAAACTAAAAGTAGGATGATTAAATTTACATAATTGCAGATGTGTAGTAATAGCATTAAAATTCCTTAGCTAAAGCATATATTTATTACATTTGAAACTGAAATTTTGATTGTATAAATTTCTCATTTATTCATCATTTTTAGGTAATCCTCCAAAAGACATACAAGTGCTTTTCTTTATTTTATGTAATTTGCTTCTACCTTTATTTTATGTAATTTGCTTCTACCTTTTCCTTAAAATAATAGTAAGCCTCATTCACTCTCTACATATGCTCTGACAATGTTTAGGCATAAAACAAAAGTTGATGATGAACCAGTTTTAGTAGGTAAGTGTTTAATATGCTGCAGAGTGTGTCATATAAGGCAAAAAAAATGAATATTGACATAGATTTTATTTAAAACTTTCATTTGGGAGGGTGACTGGTATATTCACCATTGCTACTTAGGAGCAAAATGAAAAGGATGCTTTTTGTCCTTGACTTTTGCAGAGTTGGACATAAAATCTATGTCAACTAAGGTTCTTTTTTTGTCTTAATTTTGTATTTCTGTATTCCTCTTATATATAAATACTATAAAAAGTTATATATTGCTGTTGATGATGTTTGTTAACCAGCCACTATAGTGGTTAGTCATGATGATTGCCATTCCGATGGGCTCGAGTTTGAATCCCGGAGAAAGCATGCCTGTTTGTAAGCATTAAGTGTCTGTGCACAAGGAGTCATTCAAATATACTGAAGTGAAAGTTCTTAAGAAGTTGGTGATAGGGGAAAATGGGTGGAAGACTCTTGAGACCATCTTCCCGAGGTGTTCTTCCTCAAAATTGGGATGGAAGCTTAACAGTTAGCTAAGTTTAGCAATACTTACATCACCTGTGGTACTACCGAGGTTTTAAAAGTTGTTACACGAGAGGCAGAGAAAGGATTTTTGACCTTATTTCAAAATTATTTGATTGAGTATTTGGATTGAGATGTCTGTATTTTGATGAAGATTTGCTTTTTCTCGGTCTACTTGGTTTTGATGCAGCTATGCAAGATCCAAATATGCATATATTTGGTCTCCATTATCTTTTTGCATTCATGTTCTTCAACAGCTCTAAATGAGTTGGACTTGTTTTATATCATATTTGCTTGCTAAAGATGGCAAGCCTGAAGTTAAGGATCCTGAACTTTGTGCAAAAGTGGACAGTGCAACATGCAACTGCATTCTTTCCTTTAGAGACTGATGGGCGTAAAGGATGATGGCTAATTCTGCTGAGGCTTATCGAGGGAATATTTTGAATGAAGTCTTTATGTGAGTTTCTATTCGCTGTTTTCTTATACCTTTATTATTGAGAGAATATCATTTTATTTTATCTTAAATTAATTGGTAGAAATGGAATTTAAAATTTTAATTAAGGGAACATGGATTGTGCTTAAGTGATTTTAAAGTACATCAATGAAAAAGATAATTCAGTTAGTTATAATTTCTTACAGTAATTGATAATGATTTGCAATGTGTAGGCTATTAAAGTACTGTGGAAACAATTGAATATGTGAGATTTTATGGTTGGTTATGATCCAAGTGGAATTTAATTAAGTAAAATAAAAGCAAATATGTATTTAAGTATCAAAAGAAATGTTCTTGAGTAATTAATTTAAAATAATCATACATTATGTTTAAGTTGGTAATGCATTTTCAGTATAAATCATGCTTGTAACAGAAATGATTTGGAATATGTTGCTGTTATTGTGACTTATCTCAGCTGTCAGACAGTAATATTAGCACAAGGGTATGAAATTAATCGTAGCAAGGAGTGCAAGATTGTGCCTGTTGTTGGCAAGAGTATTGAGCTCCATACAGGTGAAAATGTGACTTTACTCAATTCCACCCGCATCTTCTAATGAGCCTTATTAACATATTGCAGTTTAGGTACAGATTGAATTAATTATGAATATGCATAATAGGGAGGAATATCTCCTCCATGAAGGAAAACTTAATACTACCTCCTTGGAAATTAGTAGAATGTTTCTGCAAAACTAGTGGCATCCTGTTGTTGATTTTTGTACGTATTAACATGACTCTCTACCCATTTCAAACTAATTGTGGTGATTTAGAAGTAAGTATTACTCTGATCATCTATTGAACTTGTCATTTGTGCTTCAAACATCTGTAATTATACTACCCTAATATCTGTTTTTAATTCTAAATTTGTTTTACTGAGTATATAAATGTTAATATATAGAGAATTTCAACTGTGTAACTGATATTAAAATATGTAGTAAATATAATTTTCTGCTTTTCATTTGAAACTATTCATAGTTATTTATCAAATGAATTCTCTTATTACAATCAACTTCTTTTGAGGATATTATTGGCATGAAAGAAAATAAGAATCTTTTCTTTTGTAGAACAATACAAACCGAAAAAATTTCTGTAGATAGATAAATGCACCAGATGATTCCAGGAAAAAACATGCTCCCACTATCAGCTTATTTTGACTGCAGTAAAAATTTTCTAAACATAAGCAATATACCTCCTAAATTAGTTATTTCACTAAACAAAGAAAGAAATAGAATGCCACACTTCTTTGAAAGCTTTCTATTGATAATACTTTGAAAACTGGAACACCCTTATAACAGATTATATCAACATGTTTAATTTAACTATGGCTTACAAGTAATGTTGATATATATATCTTTTTGTAGAAAACTGTTTGGCATGTATTGTCCTATGGTGGAAATAATTTTAATTTGAAATATTTGACTTGGATATCAATGTGTAATTCTTTGGTTTATTAAATTCAGATTCATTAATATCAGTGTAAGTGAAGTGTTATTTTTAATGATTTTAAGTTTAAAATGGATTCTGTAACTAAATTTGATCTAAGTGTTACTATCAATTAAAATACTATTTTTGTGTTTTTTATTAACTTCTTGATTAATTTTAGATATTTGGGATACTGCTGGTCAAGAAAAATTCAATAATTTGCATCCTTCCTATTATCACGATGCTCATGCTTGCATTATGGTAATCTACTTTTATTTAGTTCAAGATTTTATTCGCTTTTATTGTATTATATTCACCTAAAATATTTATTATTTCTCGCAACAAACAATTATGTTTGTGAAAGCCTTTAATTTATTTTTAAAGCTGTTTTATTTGAGGATGTAGAAAATGCATGTTTACATTTTGGAAATCTTATCCATCACTTGAATAGCTGTAGCTGAGTGCAAGACTAGCAGAAGGGCATTTCTAACTATGAATTTTACATAAGGCCTGTATAGTTATGTTTCTGTATTGGTGTTCATGTGAAAATGCTTTTCAAGGTTATAAATGTATATAAAAATGAATGTGAAATGCTTTTTAAGGTTGTAAATATATGTGGAAATGGTCCTAAATGTCTGTAATGTGTGTTAAAAAGCCCTGTATTGTAATTAATAATTTTATTGGCACAAAATGAAAATTTGTGTTACATTTTATTTACATTGAAAAAAAAAAAGGGATTCAGAGTCATTAAAATAAATTACAACTGATATTTATTATTTTAATTATCTAGTAAAGTTTAAATGTATATCATGATATCTTAGTTCTTTTATTATGAAATTTCCATCAGTAAAATTTTAATTAAAAATTTCCAAAACTTTCTTTAAGATACTTTTCTCTTGCTTAAAACTAAGAGCTTTGAATAAATGTTGGAATGGTTATAACTTGCCAGAAAATTGTCTTTGCCTTTTGCAATCATATCTTTAACCTTCAAAACATGATAAATTATACATTATTTCCAAGTTTTCCAATTGCTTATTTAATTCGTGGTTGTCTTCAGCTTAACATGCTATGAAACAGAAGTAGCTAATGGTAACTACTGCTATGAAACTATATCCTAGTTTTAAATAAGGTATACATGCATTTCAATAATTTAGTCAAATTTAATATTTCTTCAGATTTTCTTCCCTGTAGAGGAAATGAACTGCAAAAATGGTTTTTTAAGAATCTTCTAATATTAAAAAATAAATAAACAAATTCTGCTTTTACTATTTTAAAAATTTAGCTGTAAGTTAAATAATCTTGTTATTACTGTATAAGATACCTACAGGGCCAAAAATAAGGATTAATCTATCTCTCCCCTTAATATCTCCATTCTGTTACAATCAGATAGATACCTATGAAACTGAAATAACATATTACTATAGTTTATTATTAAAATAATGTATTTCTGCAGACTATGTGCTCATTATAGCATTATTTTTTCTTCAAAATCTATTATGTGAAAATTTCTTTCTTACTGGGTTAAAGGAGCTGTTAGTGGCTTTGATGAAATGATGGTGTACTTATGCTTTTATATATACACACCAGAGAGCCATTATATTATGACCACCCTCCATCTATAATAATGGGCTCGTCCAGGAACAAAACCACTGTGTTTGCATGGCTGATGTTGGAGTATATAAGGTGGCTATGCATTGTCTTTCCAAACATAGCATAGTTAGCAACATAATGGGAAAAACAGCTTATTCGCCAGACTTCGATAAAGGTCAAATCATTGTGGCTTGGTGACTGGGAACATCAGTATCAGAAACAGCACGTTTAGTAGGCCTGTTCACGTGCAGTTGTTGTAAGCACATATCGAAAGTGCAGCATGGATGGTGAAACGAGCCACCGGCCAGCAGTGTATTGTTGATGACACATTGATTCCAGAGAAGAATGGAGATTGCTACGCATTGTTCACCGTGTCCGAAGAGCTACAACAGCCAAAATCACCACCAGCTACAACAGTGGTGACCGAGACAGTGTTTCTCAACACACTGTGCAGCGTACAATGCTGCGTATGGGCCTACACAGCTGGAGGCAAAGCATGTCCATGCACTGACAGCACATAATCGCCAACTGTGTCTGCTGTGGGCCGGGAAACATTGGAATTGGACATTAGAAGAATGGAAGAAAGTTGCATGGTCTGATGAATCACGTTTCCTGGTCCGTCACATCGGCAGGCATGTGCTAATATCTCGATTTCTAAACGAAACCATGGCTCCCAGATGCACAGTTGGATGGAGACAAGCTGGTAGTGGGGGTATGATGTTGTGGGCAGTCTTTTCGGGGAGCACATTAGGACCTATAATCCCCATAAAACAATCCTTGACATCTGTGTGCTACGTGGACATTGTTGCAGACAAAGTTCACCCATCCATGACAACACTATTTCCAACAGGGGATGGTGTTTACCAACAGAATAATACACCATGTCATGAGGGTCAAATCATCAGGTAGTGGTTTTAGGAACATTCCAGTTACTTTCAAATCATGTCTTGGCCTCCATATTCACCAGACATTAATCCAATAGAACATTTGTAGTCCCACCTGGAAAACCAATTTCGTGCTGCTAAGCTACCCACTTGTAGTGTGCAGGAATTGCAGGACCAGTTGCTGAGCATGTGGCTATTAACTTAGGCTGGTTGTGGTTTATCCAAAAATTTTGAAATTTGTTGTCATTGTTCAAAATACATAATGCATGCATAAAATTTTTATAATCACGATGTTGTTGCAAACTTTTGCCTTCACTGATAAAAATCTGATTATTATGTAGATTTTAAAAATGAAGACTTTTGCACTAAAAATTTTCATAGGACTGTAAACTATTATCAAAGTTTATATATTTCAGTAATTTTAAACAGTTATTTCAGACAAAATTTTATTATTTGTGTTTTTCGAAATATTTATCTTTATTTGCTAATGTTTTAGTGACTTTTTATCTTTTAAAAAGACTTTCTTGTTGCCAAGCCTTTTTCTCCTTAAAGGGGGAGGTTATGTAAACTGTTATGATAATGCAGTCCATTGTGGATGATGTGATATTAGACAACAGCTTGATTAGGAAAAGTACCGCTTCTACTGTTGTAGTCATGGCCAAAAAAACTGCTGCATAGTGACTGGAAACAGTGTAGTGACTGTAATGGAATTTTGGAAAAACCATGACCAGCTTTGTAGGTAAACATCATTTATTTCATAATGATAAATTTCTTAGCTCATTATCTAATTTGTAGACACTATGGGTCTCCCACAATTTATTATATGTAATTACATCTCAAATAGTAGAGACTAGCTAGCAGAGGCTAAGTGACACGTTGCCAGCGGGAAGGTAGAGTGGCAAAAGAGGATGCTTATATGCTTGTGTTGACGAGAAAGAACAAGACGCGCGTTATGTCGTTTCTTGATTCTAACTCAGGCACGGAAGCTCGTGCGTTGTTATGGTCAATCGCAACAGCGTGGAGTACCGCTACGACTGAGAGCTGTTCTGTGACGGAACGTTGCACGGGCGTCTTTTTATGTGGGATGCTCGGCGACGAACCTCCTGAGCGCGAAATGAACGGCATGCAGCCTGCCGTTCTTTCGCAGAAATAGCGTGCGTTTTAGTTTACTTGTCCCTAAAGGCCCCCCTCGCCCTGTCAAGACCGGTACTAAATGGAGTAACTATGCGTTTCGTAATGAACGTCTTAATGTCGGTTGTTCTGGAACCAACCAACTAACGTTGGGGGGTGACCCGGAGCCCGGTCTAGTTACTTCTCGCACTGTGTCGAACCGACAGTTGGCGAGGCACCGAAGGCAAGACAGAGCCTCGGTGAAATTCCGGGAGGGAGGGAGGCTCCCAACCGTGTGCTGCGCACCACTAAGCGCACAAAGCTGAACTGGACGTTGACAGGTGCTTAATGAAGTAACTATGTGTTTCGTAAAGAACGTCTTAATGTCGGGTGTTCTGGATCCAACCAACTGACGTTGGAGGGTGACCCGGAGCCCGGTCTAGTTACTTCTCGCACTGTGTCAAACCGACAGTTGGCGAGGCACCGAAGGCAAGACAGAGCCTCGGTGAAATTCCGGGAGGGAGGGAACTTTTATAAGCTTAGAAAGTCTGGTTAGTGATTGGGCAAAAGTTTACAGCAATGCTGATATTGCAGGGAAAGCACAGATGCCTTGAAGGGGTTGTACTTAATTAAAAACTAGTAATTTAAATTTTGATTGTCAGTTTCTTCAATTAATTCAAATTTGTTAATAAATTTTTCTTCACATTTTGAGATCTTACATATTCTTCTCTTCAAGGTGAAAAAGGCTTTTCTGTTGCCAAGCCTGTTAATGTATGACTAAAGAGTGGAATCAGTGTTCTTAATCAAGCTATTGTATAATATCAAATTATCTGCAAAAAAACTACATTATCATTAAATTCGTTTCAGTAGACTTATAACTACTATTTTCAAAGCAGATGATATATAAAATAATCTGCATATATATATATATATATATATATATGTGTGTGTGTTTGTGTGTGTAATGCAATAATACTTGTATTATCTCCTAGAAAAATAAAAATTGTAAACTATTAATGCTAGTGTAGCAAAAATTGTTTAGTATTGTCTGGAGCTATAATAAAAATATTTTAATGAAAGGTAATTCTTGAAAATGGCAAAAACTAATGCAAATGGAGAAACCAGCAGTAAAGTAAATATTTTAAAGAAATTTAATCAAACAATTATTGCCAGTAATTGGAAATTAATTCACTTATTAAGATGAATAAATTGATTCCCGATCAATTAACAATAATTAATAGAAGTGATTGTGTTTTGCTGTCTTAATATGCATTAACCAAATGTAAAACCAAACCTGGAAGATATTGATTCAAATCTGATTTAAAAAGTAGTTAATAAAAATCTTTGGATAATGAATTATTAAGCATTGGCCAATTTGACTAAGCCAGTAAAAATATTAGCTAATAATTTTAATGAAGTTTGAAAGTCCCTTGCAAATTAAGATATTCCCCAGCACAGTCACTGCATTTAACAGTAAAACAATGCATGACTACTTAAACATAAAAGAAATTATATGAGCATAAAAATGTAAGAAATATGAGTTAATTCTAATAATAGCACACATTGGTATCAAAGTCTGCGCAAGTTAGTAAATATTGTAGATTGTTGGTCGTGTCTTTTGGAGCCTTGTTTATATTTTCTCTTATGAATTTTTACACTAAATATGAGTTGTCTGTG